ATCGCTCAGATGGCAAGGCAGCCATCATCTGTTGCTGACATCTTTTCCGGTAGATAATACATGGTTTGCATTTTCGAATGGTGGTTTTGATAAGATTTTTTACTTTTGGAATCCAGTAATGAGTTCTTATCAAGCATAGGACAAGCTGATTACCACCATGAAGACTAATATCGTGAACAAATTTGACTAAAAGCCGTGAATATTGGCAATTAGAAGGAATAATAACAGGATGTTATTCATTGTACAATAGACCCGGAGAATTCTTGAGTCTTCCGCACGATCGGATAAGTCCTTCGGAATCTAGGAATGGATTAAGATTCAAAATGGAACTGGACGAGGATATAATTTGTCTGGAAGATAAAGCTCGATATTCGGCAGGATAGCCAACTTTCTGGCAATTGATTATAAGTCGCTCGTGAGCAAAAATGATCTCTGAAGTAAATAAGGCAATTGAACTTTTGTGAAAATTAGAACGCGATCTTGGGTGAGTGCGGAAAAGAAATCGGAAAATGTAAGATACTACACGAAGAGCCCTAGGAAACGAGGAAAACCTTTCCAAAATATCCTCATAATGTTGGAAATAGGAAAAGTGCACTTTCACATTCTTCTTTTCAATTTCTGTATCAGGTATATTTGCCTTATCAGACATTGGCCAATTTGCTCTGGATTCTCTTAAGCAATCATTACTTGCTTTTTCGGAAGCATCGCAAAACCCATGGATTTCAGCGTTAGGAATATAGTCTACCCATCTTGGAATCCGGATTTCATTAATATAGCAGTAATTGGATTGGAAATTCTGCCAGTCCTCTAAGGATTTCGGTGAAAGAACCCCATCCCATTTGGTACCTTCTATCCAAATCGTCTGCATCAGGATTTTTGCTAGAATCACAACTGGAGAAAGCCACCCTGCCGGATCGAACAACCTTGCAATCTGCGAAAGTACTTCTCTCTTGGTAAGTTGACGTTGATCGGAAAATGGTTTGGCTACGAAGAAAAACGAGTCTGAACGGGCATTCCATCGAACTCCTAGAGTCTTCGCTGTGCTGCTATCATCAAACGTCAGGAAATCTTCGCAGAGCAGATGTTCAACGGGAATATCGTTAATAATTTCTTTAGAATCCGCCGTCCATTTCCTCAGGGTAAATCCAGCAGATTTAAGTGCAAGTATTAACTGCTTTTTAGATTCTTTCGCTTCTTGGATGGAATGAGCACCGGCCAATGCATCGTCTACATACATGGAACCACGTAGAATAAGGCTTGCTTTTGGATAAGAAGCCTCGATGTCATCGGCTAATTGGAGTAGAGTCCGAATAGCGAGGCGCGCAATTTACGCCGAATGTCACTGTTTTTAATTCGTAATCTTGGATGATTACGTTTGGAGTATTGCGGAATAGGATTCTTTGGAACACGGTATGCTTCGGATCGACTAGGATTTGCCGATACATTTTTTGGATATCAGCATTGAAGACATACTTGAAAAATCTCCACTTCAGGATTAGTAAAATTGGACCAGTATGAAGGATATCATTTAGACTTTACCCATTAGAAAATGGAGATGACGCATTAAAAACAACGCGTACCTTAATTGTAGTGCTTTCAGGTTTTATGACAGCGTGGTGTGGTAGGTAGTAGGGACAAATTTCGGAATTGTGTGGCGGTGAAACTTTGAACATGTGATCCAAATCAATATATTCTTCCACCACGTTATCATAAATCGATTTCAAGTCAGGTGAGCGAAGTAGCCGAACCTCATTTCGTAGAAATTGTGCCATAGCACTACTTCGAGATTGGCCTAAACTAAGCTACTCAGGATAGCCATCCTTAAATGGAAGAGAAACAATATACCGATCATCTTTAGCTCTTCTGATAGTAAAAAGATCGTCACAAAATTTGTCGGATGATGAAATAAAGTTGTTCCTTGGAAGATTCTCCACCTCCCAAAAACGAAAAATTTCTTTGTCTAAAGAGATTTCGCAGAAATAGGAAACTAAGGAACAACTGGGAGTAGGGGAATTGGACAAAGGACCAGTTAGAATCCACCCAAAGATTGTTTTGCTTCACACCAGACCGTATAATCGAAGGGAAGAAATCACCACCAATGAGAATATCTACTTTCGAACTTGAATGGAAATGTGGATCAGCTAACTGGATTGGAGGAAGTTTGGAAAAGAGTGAGCGATCAAAAGTCTTAGAGGGAAGACTACCAGAAAGCTGTGGAACTACTAAAGCGGTAATGAGCAGCTGTATATCTGGATTGATACTGGAACTGATCATGAATGAACATTGTTTATCAACACTAGCGGATATGGTCCTGAAACTTGAGCATTAGTGCGTGTTGCAGGAAGTTTCAGTAGATTAAACATCCTTTCCGAAATAAATGAACTTTCTGAACCTGAGTCTATTAAAGCTCGAGCAGGGTATCTATTATCCAAGTAACAAATTTCAATCATTGCAGTACTTAGTAAAACGCCAGTGGAATTTACTCTAAAACAAGATGTAACAACTTCAGCATCCGAAGTAGGAGCGGACTGTATAGTAATTGAATTCGAACTAGTTACAAGTGGTGCTGAATTTGGATTAAGGTTGGAATTGGCGCTTGTACTAGGACCCGGTAACGGAGTGGCTATGTCGGTTTCTTTGTGGAGCAAGGTATTGTGTCTTTTATGACAACGGAAGCAATTGATTTTGCTGTTGCAGTTTTTGACTGAATGCGTTTTGGAAAAGCAATTGAGACATAGGCTAAGCTTTTTAATCTCATTGAGCGTTGAGAATGACCCATTTGCAAAAACTTCGGACATTTGCGTATTGGATGATACTCATTGGTACACAATTGACATTTAGGCTGAGAAACGTTATTTTGGAAAGCATTGACTAGTTTGGACGAACGATTCAACTTCTTAGATTTTGACTCGGTAGGCTTGGATGTAGCGGAACGTATTTCGGACACGGATTCCAAAGTCCTGTAACGATTTGTCAGGAATAAATCTAAATCGGACCCTACACAATTGACATTTAGGCTGAGAAACGTTATTTTGGAAAGCATTGACTAGTTTGGACGAACGATTCAACTTCTTAGATTTTGACTCGGTAGGCTTAGATGTAGCGGAACGTATTTCGGACACGGATTCCAAAGTCCTGTAACGATTTGTCAGGAATAAATCTAAATCGGACCATTTGGGAATCGACGTTTTATCTTTTAAGCCTTATTCCCATAGCGTCAAGGTTGAATCTGGCAGCTTATTGGAACACAGGAAAACAAATATAGGGTCCCAGCTATCAACGTCTATACGATGAAGTCGTAAAATGGATATACACGAGTTTATATCTCTTTGCAAATGTTGAATAGCTTTTGCCGATTCGGCAGTTATGCTAGGGAGATTAAATAGGATTCGAAGTTGCCCGTTAACTTGGACCCGACGATTTTCAAATCGTTCTGTCAGATTTGACCAAGCTAAATCAAAACCCTGATTTGTTAAGGGACTCTTCTTCACAATCTACTTTGCTTCTCCTTTAGTTTTCTGAGTCAAGTGGAAAAGCTTCTCAACAGGGCTTAATGTGGAATTCTATATGAACATGGCTGTGAAGTGATCGGACTTGTGTCAGCATTCTCACGCGATTGATCCCGAAGGGCTTCGGTCAGCTCAGATAATTGTATTAATATATTACAATAAGTCACATACGTACTTTTGTATTTGTCTTTAAAAGCTTCTATATCATCCGATTCCCCGGGATCCGTATCATCTTCGTTGTCCTTATCGAACAAAAACTTTTCATAAGCCTCCTTAAGATGAACCCATGTGGACTTTATTTCCTGCCTGTGGATTTCTAACGCATGAAGAGAATTGATTGGATAACGATTCTCATTCTACTATACTATCGGCCAAGCGAATAAAGTGATCAAGAGACATGTTTGATATACCAAAAGGACAAAAGGAAAAGCACTAGCAACAATTCAAATCGAAATTCGGAATGAAATTATCTAAAAATGTGGGAATTGAAATCAGATCGAGAATAAAACCAAAAAAAATTGTAAATAAACCGATCGGAATAAACGTGTAAATCAAACCAGAAAGAAAACCAGTAATTTGGATAAAATATATTTTTCGAAGAATTGATACCTTTACGTTACTGGACTATAGGATCAGCTGCTTCAAAAAATAAGTAAAATAAGTAAATAAGAAAGTTCGTAAACCTATTCAACGATATTTGTTTTTGGAGAAATTCTTTTATTTTATTTATTTACAATCCTTGTAGAAAAAATAGCAACAATGTATTCCATAAAGTTGTTTACCAATATGTAAATTAACCCTCGGTCGCACGAACAAATAGACAATAAGTAAATTTTTCCTTTTTAGAATTAGAGTATTCGTAATTAAAAGTACTCTATTGGACAAAACGTGCAATAAAATGTGTATTTAGTAAACTGGATTTATTTAGCGTATATAATTATTTTACTAATCTTCAGAAATATGGACAAAGTTTATCGCAATTTACTTCAATATTATTTATTACCAACACAAAAAAAAAGAAATATATTTACTAATTGTATTATTAATTGCCAATCATAAATGGTTAGATCAAAATGCATTAAAATATTTGGAGAAAATAATATAAAAAATGTATGCCCCCACTAACCACACAAGGGTTAATTATGATCAGTCAGCGTATGACGAATAAAGCAGAAAGGAAAACAAGCAAGTAGATGTACACACTCACAAACACGTATGTTTATGTTAATACTTGTAAATGGATATACACACGAATGAACTAATGTACTGCTTGTTGATGAAATAGACAAACGTATGCAAATTAAATGGCTCGCTATTAATATTATTTGGAAATAAGTATTATTGTTTGGAAATAAGCAAAACAAAGTAAAGAGCAAATTGAAGGGAACAATTATTATTTAAGTTTACTAATATATGACCGGAAAAAAAGGAAAGAGCTACGAAAAAAAAATTAATAGGGAATAATGTAAAAAGAATTTATTTGGAATTAATATGGAATTGAGAAAATATTCACAGCAAAAGAACAAAATATCCTACGCAAGATCAGTAGAAGTAAGCACCGGTTATTATGTTTACTTTTATGATAAAATATAAATTTTTATAATTATATTTTAGAGAAATAGTCGATCAAATGAAATAAACACCGGTGAAATTAAAACCTTGCGGACAAAAACTATTTTTAATGATAATATTTTTTTTTAAACTCACGCTTATAACTCCAACTCTTGGACGACCAATAGAAGTAGGGGATATTTTATTCGGTGCACACGATCACTTTAGTTTTCCACTATTGAAATTTTAATTTGCCGACGGCTTTTTTCTAATTTTAATTTTGGAAAGATTTTAAACTCCACTCTCTATCTTTTCCTTTTCTTTCTTTATTATTAAGTTGCCGACGGATTTCTTTTTTTTTTCTTTTGTAAATTGCCGTCGGTGTTTTTCAATTATTAATTTTTATATTTATAAGTATGTATTTTTGTAAATATACACATCTGCTCAAAATATCGGAACCTCAAACTACCGCGTTTTTAAAGCTGTGAAAATAATTCTACCGATCTATCCAATTGGCCATTTTCCAAAAATATATTATGGAATAAAATATATACCAAAGCAAATGGCAACTATAATGCAATAAAAAAGAAAGAATATAATGGGAAAATAATTCTACCGATCTATCCAATTGGCCATTTTCTAAAAATACATTATGCAATAAATTATATACCAAAACAAATGGCAATTTTAATGCTTTAAAATGATGCATAAACGACTGTCCTAGCACGAAAACTACCAAAGTTAATTGCAACCATATCGGAACCTCAGATTACTGCGTTTATTAAACATAGAACAATAATTCTACCGATCTATCAAATTGACCAATTTGTAAAAATACACATTATGCTACAAATGATATACCATATTAAAGTGCAATCATAATGCTTTAAAATGATGCATAAATGACTGTCATAGCGTGAAAACTGTCAATGTTATTTGCAGCCATATCGGAACCTCAAACTACCGCGTTTTTAAAGCTGTGAAAATAATTCTACCGATCTATCCAATTGGCCATTTTCCAAAAATATATTATGGAATAAATTATATACCAAAGCAAATGGCAACTATAATGCAATAAAAAGATATATAAACGACTGTTATAACATGAAAACTATAAAAGTTATTTGCAACCATATCGGAGCCTTAAATTACCGCATTTTTGAACCTGTACCAATAAATATACCGATCTATCCAATTTTTGTAAAAATTCATTATGCCACAAATTATACACCAAAATAAAGTGCAACTTTAATGCTTTAAAATGATGCGTAAACTAATGCCCTAGCATGAAAACTGTCAAAGTTATTTGCAACCATATCGGAACCTCAAATTACCGCGTTTTTAAACATAGAACAATATGTGGGTACATATGTAGCTAATAATGTAGCTTTTTTCCTTTTTATAAATGCACTCGACACAAACACTATGCACTTTGTATATTGATAAACTAAATAAAGCAAACATAAATAAAACAAACGAACCTGTTTAATTATTGATGCTGGAAGTATGTAATCCTTTGTTGGTAGAATTATGTAGGCACAACGAGTTGAAATCTCCGAGAGAATTATATATTCCAATTTATCCGGTTCGAACTGGACTGGTTCGCTCAAAGCTTTGGATGGGGATGAAAGGCTGGATTATTGGAAAAATTATTAGTCTCTCTGAGCCAAATCAAAATATATGGATATATTTTGTAACTCAGAATAATTTAATTTGGATATGCAAAGAAATGGAAAATAAAACAAAGCAATTAGGAAATTTTCTTTGGATATTTATTAAATTATTTAGGGAATAAGGAATTCTTACCAAGGATAGGAAAGTGGACCAATTTGCACAAAAGAAAGTTTCTTTCTGGCGGAAATAAAATTTTACGACATATTTGAAATAATTGACGTTTTATTTAGAACTTTATGACAACTTTACATATGCTGCAATTCATAGCAATTCATTATGAATAAATGGACAATTGTTGTTTGGCATAAACAAGTACGACTTGAATATGTTATGTGAGCATATAAATCATTCTACCAAATTTTTTTCGGATTGGTCCATATATGGTAATAGCTCCTATATAAGGTCCACTTCAAAAAAATCACTTACGCACATATTTCATTATCAAATAAAGATATCTTGATAAAATTCGACACAAATATGTTTTGTGTGAGGTCATAGCTCCTATACATATAAAGTCCACTTCCGAAAATCACCTAACCGCACATATTTCATTAATTAATAAATCTATTGTAGTAAAATTCGAGTTGAATTTTTTTGGCATATAAATCATTTTTTTCTTATCGGTCGATAATTGGTCACAACTCCCATATAAGGACCATTTCCGAAAATTACTCAAATGCACATTGACAATCAAAGTTGTCGAGATAAAATTCGACATAAAAGTGTATATATCATTCCACAGTGGGGCAGAATGGAAATTTTTTGGAAATAAATCTGGCATTTCTAAACGGCTGATCCGATCGTCATAAAATCTGTCATAAAAATATGAAAAAGATGAAATTAAAGGACACAGGTTTAAATGAACATATTTTTGAATGTAATTGAGATATTGGCTTGAAATTTTTTGTAAAGGGTCGAGAATTTCCATATCTAACTAAAAAATGATATTAAGGGATAAATATGGACTAAATTGTTGTAGCTATCTGCGATCCTATTAAAATTTTGATATAAATCATAGTTTTAGAAATTAAACAAATATGTAATATATGACAAAATCTTTATTTATCAACAAAACTCAATAAAATTTTCAACGCTTGTTAAATTTGTCATTTCAAATAAGAAAATGCTAAAAAAAAATTGAAAAGGTCAAAGGGCATCCCGCAATTCCCAAAAATAGGAATGAAAATCCCAAAAATGGGATTTTTTACTTTTTTGCCCATAGGGTCCACATTTCTTTCAGGGCTGGGAAAATACTTTTGGAGTAAATAGAAAACATATTGAGGTTTCCAAAACTGCTTTCAGTTTTCTGATCCCAGCTTTGGGATTTTAGAACATGTCGCCCAAAGTTGAAGTTTTGATAAAAAATAGGTTATATTCGGAAGGACGCAGTGGCAACATTTTCAAAAAATAGGACAAGTTTTTACGCCAAAGCATTCTGCGTAAAGATACCTTTTAGAAAACTATAAAATTGTTATATGTTCTTAAAGAAAATTTTATTTTATTAATAAAAGAGTTAAGACACATTTTTGGCAAAAAACGCCAAAAATCTAAAATTTTTTGAATTTTTAAATTAAAAAACGTATATTTTTGGATCTGTAAATGATATTGATCTGAATTTTTTTGTATATTATTGGAAATTTTGTTGTCTAACTAACAAGAAAAAATTGAGTCCATTTGGTCCAAAATTACGCCCGGTATTCAAAAAAAGGCGGACCAAGGTATGGTAAATTTTGTATCACTAAATTTTTAAATGCCTATAACTCGGATATTATAAGAGATAAGTAGTATGTCCAAGCATGTTTTTTTCAAGATCTCGTCGAGCTTTCAGAAAATATAAAAATCTTTGTATTTGGGTGAAAAACAAAAAAAAATGGCACGAGATTAAAAATTTTACATTTCGTAGGTACCCTACTTTGAGCCGCCACAGCGCCGTCCCTGGGGCATCTGCAGGGTTCATCTTCAAAACTTAAACTCGAATACTCCTTGGCTACGCTCACGCCAATTTTATCCCGATCGAATCAGCCGTTTAGAAATGCCAGATTTATTTCCAAAAAATTTCCATTCTGCCTCACTGTGGAGTGCTATATTCGGCTGTGCCGAATCTTATAAACCCTTCACCACAGTATATTTAAAAAATATCAATTCTATAAAATTTTAATATATTTCATTATCCCGTTTATATCATTATTATAGAAATATCAAAACGAACAACAACAACGCTAAACGAAATAAACACACAAAAAAACAAAATATACAAGGCAGTAAAACCAACAGACATCCTAACATACGAAACGAAATACACAAAAAACAAAAACAAAATACACAACGTAATTAAACCAACAGATCTCCAAACATTCGAAACTGAATACACGAAAAAAAAAAAACAAGTAAGAAATTATTGTCGGGCGAGGCCGACCATATAATACCTGTTACAAAAAAAATGTGATTTAGTTCTCATAATAAAGCATTTAAGTTGAATTGTACCGGTTCAGTTGTATGGGGGCTAGGTGAAATAATGGACCGATGTCAACCATTTTCAACAGGCTTCGTCTCCGGTACCATAGAAGATCGTGTGTCAAATTTCATTGAATTATCTTCAAAATTGCGACCTGTAGTTTGATTACAAAGTTTACAAGTCCTATTCGGGGATTCAGCTGTATGGGGGCTAGGTGAGATAATGGACCGATATTAACCATTTTCAACAGGCTTCGTCTCTGGTAGCATAGATCATCTGCCATTGAATTCATTGAATTATCTTCAAAATTGTGACCTGTAGTTTGATTACAAGGTTTACAAGCCTTATTCAGGGGTATAGGCTAGGTGACATAATGGACCGATCGTAACCATTTTCAATAGGCTTCGTCCCTGGGACAATAGAAGATCATGTACCAAATTTCATTGAATTAGCTTCAAAATTGCGACCTGTAGTTTGATTACAAGGTTTACATGGACGGACGGACATAGCTAAATCGACTCAGAAAATGATTCTAAGCCGATTGGTATACTTTAAGGTGGGTATATGACCAATATTATTGTGCGTTAAAAACATCAGCACACACCCAATATACCCTCCCCACTAAAGTGGTGTAGGGTATAAACAATATACACAAGGCAATGAAACATACGAAACGAAATACTCAAAAAAGCAAAAACAAAATACACGAAACCAACAGACATCCAAATATACGAAACTGAATGCACCAAGAAACAAAAACAATATACACAAGGCAATGAAACACACAGCCATCCAAACATATGAATACTCAATGAATAAACAGTGTTTTTGTTGTTGCTTATATCAAAGCATGAAAAAAATTGTCGTTTTT